TAACACTAATGCGAGGGACAAAAATGGGTGACAAAACAAGAACTCAAAAGTTCAAGGATGCATTTTTTTTGGTAAAATGTGATTATCTCTTTCAACCTGTATACTTTCACAAAGCTGTTTGTTTGGTACTCGATTTTCCGACATTTGACAAGATACGATTAACAAAACCATTCAGATGAACGATATTTCTTATTTACCATATATTAAAAGGGGAAAGAATGCACCAGAAGTGGTCATCCTCCTTAACAGATATTTAACCAGCTCCTTTTAGATAGAATTAAATTGTTGCAATCTTTGGATGCCTACATTTATCCATTACTCTGCAGGGAAGATAGAAATTTTGTAATGTGCAAATTTTTTGTAAGGCTGTTAATTTGGTGTATATGGCCCTCAGTGTTTGCCTGTTTATATACAGTAACACTTCTGATATGTTAGTTATGCTTTTTAGCATTTAAATGAGCTTCACTATCTCACCCTGCCATCTTTGCAGGGAAGATAAGTTCAACTGTGAATCACAGCTGTCTGTGCCTTAGAATTATCATTGTTGCTGCTCCCTAAATTGCTTTCAGAGCATCGAGTAGCTGCTGAAGGTAAACTGCGTAAAGTTGGATACAGCAAGTATTGTAGAATAGTGACTGTATAGCAGGACCAAAGAACTGAGTTTAAATCTCAACTTACTTAACAGAGGATCTAAATTTGTAAGTATGATGTAAATTGGAATAAACAGCTAGTCTCAGTAATGGTGATTGTGAAACTACTGGATTGTTGTAAAATTTGCCTGACTTAGTAATGTTCTTTGATGAAGGAAATCTGCCCTCCTTTCCCACACATGATGAAGACCCACCCAGTCCAGTTGATCCTTAAAAAGTCCTTCCCATTAACATCTGGGGACTTGTGCCAAAACTGGGACAGCTGTCCCACATAAAGCGGTAAGCTCTGGCCTGACAGAGTCATACTGTCAGAACCATTGCTTGCAGCTAGCTTCCCAGAGTCTTCACTTAACAACTGTGTCCTGTCCTACTTACTGGACAAAGCAGCAATGTGATGGAACAGTGGTATATAGTTGAGAAGGATTAGTTATGAGAGTTCTCAAAATTGACTCTGGACCTTGTAATAGTTCAAGGCATTAAGACCGACATGGGCAAGGAGACTCCCTGCTGATTATTGTCGGAGTAGAGGACTTTGTATATCCATCAACAAGAATGGCTTGCTCGCACCATGACTGATTGAGCATGTAAAACTTTTAGCAGGTGCTGAAAGAGCCAACATGAAAAACTTATCAGACCCCATCCCCCCAAACAAAAAGATATTTCCTTCCTCACCGCTATCCACTTTCCGCAGGGACTGTTCATTCCATGGCTCCCTCGTCAGCTCTAAACACCCCACCAATTTCTCCATCACACTCGGTTCCTTTCCCTGCAACTGCAAGAGATGCAATTCCTGCCCCCACACCTCCCCTCTTACCTCCGTCCAAGGTCCCAAACAATCCTTCCAGATCCAGCAGAGAGTCACCTGCACTTCATCCAACCTGATCTAGTGTATCCATTGCTCCTGATGTGGTCTCCTCAATATCGGGGAGTCCAAACGCAGACTGGGAGACCGGTTCGTAGAGCATCTGCACTCTACACGCACCAACCAACCCGACCTTCCAGTTGCCATCCACTTTAATTCCCCCCTCCCACTCCCCTGGCGACAATGTTCAACCTTGGCCTCCTCCACTGTCAGTGTGAGGCTAAACGTAAACTGGAGGAACAGCACCTGATATTATTGTGCCTTCGGAGCTTACAGACCAATGGCCTCAACATTGACTTTATCAGCTTCAACATCCCTCCAGCCTTATCCCATGTCCAGCCATTCCCCTCCACCTCGCCTCCCTGACCTGACCTAACCTGTCCATCTTCCTACTGAACTATCCACACCACCCTTCCACTGACCAATCACAATAACCCCCTACCTGCATCCACCTACCACCATCCCACCTACTCCTCCCTCAGCCCCACCTGCTCCCTCTGTTTACTTCTGGGCTCCTCTCCCCCTCTCAGTCCTGCCGAAGGGTTTCAGCCTGAAACATTGACTTTCCTGCTTCTCAGATGCTGTCTGACCTGCTGTGCTTTTCCAGCTTCACATCTATTGGCTCTGGCTTCCAGCATCTGCAGTCCTTGCTGTCTGCAACATGAAGACCCTACCTGACTTTGTCTTTACCAGTGTGCCTTTTGCAGCTGTATCTATCCCTGCTAGCGTTGATAGGTGTGATCGCCATACAGTTAACATGGAGATGAGGTCCCATGTTCATGTGATACTACTCACCAAGCTAATTTGGTTGAATTTGAAACAGAGTCATTGGGTTTCCATGAGGTACAGTGGGCCATCAAACAGCAGCAAAATTGAACTGCTCCCAATGACCTATCACCATCATGCAGGGTTCAGTTAGGTTAGCAAGAGTGTGACCAAAAATAATTAAAAATTAGGTGCTAACATGTAAAAGCACAAGACTACAATCAAGCACATAGGATTAAGGAAAGCTGGATTAGCACGGCAAGAAGAGAATAGATGGATATGCAAACATACTGAAATTAACTAAATGTGCAAACTCATGAGGGCCATAAACACTGGTGTGGACTTGTTAGGTTGAATGGCTGCTTTCATTCTTTTAAACCAAAACTAAAATCAAGTTTAAAAGAATAGCCACAGGCAAGGTACTGTAACAGAAACACAATCAAACATTTAATGGACTTGAAAAGATGGACGGAAACTTTGTTAAATCAAAATAACATTGTCTGGGTGATAATGCACCCAATCCCCTTTGATGCCCCAACAGTCTGTGAAGGCCTGTATTGTGCCCTTGGATACTCTATGCTCCCTCACAATGGACACCTGAGCAGGTGTAACGTCAAAGAGGGGCAGGAAATCAGGCATTCTGACCCCTCCAGGGCTGTTTCTATGCTGTGGAAGCTATATGATTCCATCCATTGTTTACTTAGCCTGGGAAACAGCTATTCATTATTGACTATTTTTTCACTTCCTTTAATTAATCTATTTATAGCTTATATACTATTCTTTTCCTGACCTTTGTTTCTTATCTTTTCTTATTTGTTAAAATCAATGTACTCTTCTTTATTGTCATTGCTAATGAATTTATGTTGCTAAAAGTAAATCTGTGTTATAATTGTCATCTGGTAGGATGACTGTAGCATCAGCAAAATGTGTTCAAACACAGTTTATAGTCCATTCCCTTCCTTGTAGGAGTAAAACTTACCAAGCAAGGTGACCTGGATTGTTTAGCACTTCTTGCAGGTTTTACTTTGTGATTTTTATTTTGATTCAATCCAATCAGATCTTCATATACACTTGAAGGTTCCAGCTGGGATGATGCAGCAACTACTAGAATAACAAACATTTTGGAAAAAGGATTCCAATTATTATTGCTCTTTGTCAGAAGTAATTATACAACTTTTAGATTGGAGCTAAAGGATGCTTTTGTGTTTGTAAAGCCTTCTGCTCTGTGATGATGTATTTACTTTTTGTTGCATTCAATAAACGATTTTTATCTTCAGCCCTCAGATGAAGATACAGGCAGTCTGACCCTTCAAATGGCACATATCTCTGAAGAAAATCATTTGAATAAGCAGGAGGAATATTTGAATGTTAGATCAATGAAAGGTAAGTGATTTATGATTCATGCATGGCCATAAATATACAGCAAGTGGTAAGATTTTGAGACCTTAGAGTACAGATTTTCAAATCTTTAAAAACAATGTTTTGTTTTCTTGTACATGGATTGCCAATTATACAGGAGGCAGTGATGAATCTGTGTATGATATATTGTAGAAGGGATAGTGAAATGTGGGAAAGGTTCAATGTCAAATTCACTGGGATAATACTGGAAGGACCAATGTAGTTATGAAACAGATTGAATATTTGAATGTATTCACTGGCACAGGGAATGTTAAGGGAAGATTGAAAGTCTTTAAAGTTTTGAAGATGTTTGAGAATGTAATTGGTGTAAAATCATCCAGAGCAAAGGGACATAAATTTGGCGTTTTTGTTGCAGAAGGCTAACATTATATGGAATATATTGTCATACCAGTTGTTGAAATGTTACTTTTAAGAGAGAATTAGATAAACGCTTAAAGTAAAATATTGTGGAATATGAAAGAGGATGGGGTTTTTTTAGATAATTCTAGAGTGGAATTAGTTTTAGCATAAGCTTGATGGGTTAAAATATCTCATTATGATGATATTTCAAAAATTCTGTGATTAATTTGATTCTACCTAAACTATTTAAAGCAGATGCCTAGTTTAGTAACATTATCTTGACAGTAACATTATTACGACTGTTTACAGAGAAGCCTTCGTTCTAAAATGATATTTAATAAATCTAAGCAACCACTCCAGGAGTTGTGATTCCTATAGAGACCGAAAATATTTTAAGAGAAAAATACAGTCCAATGGTGACTGAGAAGTACTCGTGTAATTGTCTGCATGTTGACCCATCCAGTCTGAGGTGTAACCCTCATAGAAATTTGTGCTTTCCATGTAGGTGTGTTTTTGTGGCTTTGCCATGGAAAGAGCTGAGAGTAACTCCAGATCTCTCAAAGCTCGCTGTACATTGGATGCAGTCACAATGGAGCATTGCACAATTATACACCAAATTTAGGGAATGATGTAAAAGGGACCTAAGGGGCAACTTTTTTCAATCAGAAGGTGGTGCATGTATGGAATGAGCTGCCAGAGGAAGTGGTGTAGGCTGGTACAATTACAACATTTAAAAGGCACCTGGATGGGTACATGAATTTGAAGGGTTTAGACGGATATGGGCCAAATGTTAGCAAATGGGACTAGATTAATTTGGGATGTCTGGTCAGCATGGACAAGTTGGACTGAAGGGTCTGTTTCCATGCTGTACAACTCTGTGACTCTATGAGTGTTTACAGAGAAGTCTTTGTTCTAAAATGATATTTAATAAATCTAAGCAACCCCTCCAGGAGTTGTGATTCCTGTAGAGGCCGAAAATGTTTTAAGAGAAAAACACAGTCCAAGTTCTGCAGCAAAGGTTCACCTCTCAATGCTAGGTCAAAACATTCACTGTCCTTTCACAATCAGTCAACTCTACCCGAGTTTTCCAAATTCAGTAGTGACCAGCAATACACACCCAGTCAAATTCCCAATCTGTAGTTTTATTGAATAGAAACTGAAGCCTCAACAGCGTCCTGATATCTAGTTTTCCAGGCTCCTTCACAACAGCAGCTTCTTCCCTCTGTAGGCTCCTGTGGAATGCATCAAAACTGTTACTCAATGCTTCAATGGGTTTCTAGTCAACTTTCTGTCTCCACAACAACCTGAGATCATGTAGGCACTACTTTAGAACTGAAGTGTTTACCAGAAAGTCACCACTCCCTCTTTCAGAGATATATGTTTTAGTTTAAATTTTAATACCAGTGTTTGATCCTAAGTTTACTTTGCTGATGGTTGGGAAGTATGTAAATGCGAATGGTGATTATGGACACGTTAAAATAAAATATCCATGCTGGGATTTTCCTCTTCTCCCTTTGTCAGCTCCTAGTTTTCAAGTAACAAATTGACATGACAGTGTGCAGGAGACTCTGATTCCAGAGAGGAGGGGAGGGATGTAGAGAAAAGGCAGAGGTAGTCGCAAAGGATATGTTTTTTCCTAGCAAACTATTTTCGAACTTGCTGTTGGACATAAATAAAAACTGAACCTGTGCATTTGATTTGATTTAATTTATTATTGTCACATGCATCTAAGTATAGTGAGAAGTTTTGTTTTGTGCGCAGTACAGGCAGATCATAAAATACAAAGATCATAGAGTGGTAGAACAGAGTGAGGAATACAAAGTTACCACTGCAAAGAAGGTGCACAAGAAACAAGATCAACATGCCAATCGCAGTAATGAAACCATTGTGTTTCTTGCAAGAATCTGGCAGTGTTTATGCTAGCTTTTCTGATGCCACAGATTAGTTGTGTTCAGTATAATTGGTTAGTTGGGTTTGAACTTGAGATCTCTGGGTTGCTAGTGTAGCACCAAGGACGGATTATTACTATCGGTGAGGCTGGAGTGGAATGAGGGTTGACCTTAGTTTCTTGCCACTTCTCACTAGTGATCACTGGTACCATGAGAATGAAAAGTAAAGTTTGTGGTATATGAAACCAGTCAGAAGATTTGGATGTGATATAAAGGGCGCGATTTAACTGCATGCTTCTGTGGGACCTCTTGATTTATGAAATTAAGCACTAATAGCCAGGTTCATCCAAATTTAAATGGAACTAGTAGGAGTCCATCACTTCAACTTGAAGAATGGGCTTCACTCGTTTCACCTGGATTACATCATGACCATATGAAATAGTAACAGAAGTAGACCTTCAAACCTGAATTGAATCATTTATTGTCACGTGTATTCAATGTAAAAATACAGTGAAAAGTGTGCACCTTCGCTGTACATGAATGGCGCCATTCACATTAACTTAGAATAAGATAAGAGAAAAAAGATAACTTAAGAGAGTCCAACTTTCCTTTTCACTGCCACAGACCCACTCCGAGCTTTGCAATCCTTTCCATGCCTCCGCCAGAGTCCTGCTCTGGGCTGCCTCACCAGCCCATTCTTGATCCGCCACTGTCGCTCCGGCCATCGCTCGATTTGCTGTCACGTGGTTCCCGGTCGTGACCCGACTCCTTCCCAACTCCTTAAGAAGGTAGTTGAAAGGGGTGGGGGTGGCTAGAATTACTACAGAGGGAGAGAGAAGAAGGGACACAAAAAAGGAACCTGCTCTGCCATTCAGTAAGTTCCTGGCTGATCTGTTTGTGTTTCAAGTTTTACATTCCCAGCAATCTCTGATAGATTCTTGTTGTTCTCGGAAATCAAGTCTACCTTACTCTGCCTTAAAAACATTGAAAACGTTACTTTCACTACCTTTGGCAGAGCATTCCAAAGTCTCACAATCCTTTAAGGGAAAATAATTCTCCTTATGTTTATCTATGGGGGAAACCCCTAGTTTTAGTACATTACCCCCCATTTCTGGACTCACCCACAAGAGGAAGCATCCTTTTTATGTTCACCTTGTCAAGAATCTTATTTGCTTCAGTCAAATCACCCTTCTTCTAAACTCCAGTGGAAACAAGCTCAGTCTGTCCAACCTGGCCTCATAAAACAACCCACTCATTTCAGGAATCAATCCAGTAAACTTCCTCTGAACCATGTATCATATTCATCACCAATGCCCTGTATAACTGATGCATAGTATCGTTACTCCTATGTTGCAATAAAGGATATCGTTCCATTAATCTTTTTATTATGTGCTGTACCTGCATAATAAATATTTTATAACTATTTCATTGAAACACCTAAATCTTTCTGCTTGGAATTCTTTTGCCATTCTCTGTTTCAGTAATCCACAGCTTTTTTACCCTTCCTGAGAAGATAAGCAACTTCACATTTTTCCATATTATAATCCATCTGTCAGATATTTGCCCACTCACATTATTTATGATTTTCTGCAAACTCGCGTCTTTTTTATAACAATCTCTTATTTATCTTTATGTCGTCTGCAGATTTGACTACTGTGCCCTCACTCCCCTCATCCAAGTTATTTGTTGTAAATTGTAACAAAAAAATTGACGCGTGAGCACAGATCCCTATGGGATTCTACTCATCACACTCTGTCATTTAGACAAAACAATCTAATAATTGACAGAAAACAGAGATTATACAATTTCTAACCATTGTAATACGTTACCTCCCTTCCCACACACGAGTGCTTTCCTAAACTTTTCCCACTGTACCCCATTTCAAGGCTAAATGTGGTGACCCCCAATGAGAGAGATGGCAATGGCCGAGAGAGCTGGAGCAAGCAGTTATATCTCAGGCAGAGCTCCATGGCCATTGCTGCCTCAGAGCTTGTGAACCCAAACTTTCTGCTCACAATGTCACTTGTGCTCCTGGGCCCACTTTGGGAGGCTCTGCCCTAAACCATGAGCTTTTATTTTCAGCAGGAACCTTTGAAGTGGCATCTTATCACAAGCCTTCTCGAAATCTAATTACAGCCTATAAAAGGCTTCCTTTTATCCACGCACATAGCACACTGCTTCAAAGAAATTTAATTAATCTATTTGAGGTACTCGTACTGTAGACATCATTACTATAATACATGGACACTTTGCCTCTGATCCATAGTTTATGCCCAAATTCACAGTGGACTCTCTTGGATTGTGCAGAATTAAATTTTTCATTTGTTTATGATTTTTTTTAAAAATTCTTTCATAAGATGTACAGTTAATGATCAGAAAGGTTAATGAAATTATGTTGTTTATTGCAAAGAGAATGGAATAGAAAAGTAGCAAAGATTTCCTGCACTTGTGCAGGGTGTTGATGAGACCACATCTAGAGTGTACAGTTTGGGTTTTCTTCTTTAAGAAAGGACATTATTACACATTAGAAGCAGTGCAGAGTAGGTTCATTCAACTGATTCCTGGGATCAGGATTGTTATCTAATTAGGGAAGGTTGGGCCTGTGTCCATCAGAGTTAGAAGAGTGAGAGGTGGTCTTATTAAAACACCCTGGATCCTGAGAGGACTTGTCAAATGGGTAGTGAAAGGATGTTTCCCCTTGTGGGAAAGCCTAGAACTAGGGCATCCAGTTTAAAGGTAAGCGATCCCCTATTTTATAGGGAGATGAGAGTTTTTTTTCACCCGAGGGGATCACTAATCTGTAGATTTCTCTACCGGAGAGTGTGGTGGTGGTAGGGTTGCTGAATATTTTAAAGGCAATTGATTAACAAAGGATATTGGAGGGAAAAATGGAAGTAGTGTTCAGGTTGCAAACAAATCCTACATGATCTTATGGAATGGTAGAAATGACTTGAGGGGTGGATTGGCCTATTCTTCATTAATATGTGGGTTTCGCTAGCAAGGCCTGTAGTGTTGCCCTTGAAATGATGATGATGAGCTGTCAGCTTGAACTGCTGCAGTGTGTCTGGTGCAGGTACACTCACTGCTACTAGAAAGGGTGTTCCAGGACTTTACCACAGCCCTGAATGAAGTTGAGCTGTTAGTAGCAGAGTTGACTACTCATCCGTAGCCAAGATGTCACATAGTTCCTTCAGGTGGGCCACAATTATGGAACCATCTGAGGCAGGCATGTTTTCATATGGTGGCAGTGGTACATTTGAAACAAGAAACACTGTCGTGCAAATGGAAATTTGAAGGTGAAATTCTTAAAACCGATAAAAGAATAATGGCAGTGTCAAGTGTCTGCTCTTCCCCATTCCAGCCACAGAATAGATTCCAGTATAACTATGATACGTTAAATTAATTGCATATAGCTTACACTTAATGTACGCTTCATACCCATCTGGTTTCACTTAAAATGTCAAAATTTCTGATTTTACGATGTGCAGCACCTTAGGAAGTCTGCTGGTTGCATGAATTCTGACCATTTTATCAGCGTTGAAACAATTAAAGCATTTATTCAGCATCAAGTATTGTATTTGGGTGCAAAGCATGCTTAGTTTATCCAAATCACCTCTTCAATGACTGGCCAACATGCCATTTGCGTTCTTCACCACAAAATGAACCTGTATGCTTACTTTTAGCAACTGGTACAAGGACACCCAGGACTTCCACTGATTTATTAAGTATCAGTTGTTGAAGTGAATCCTAAATTGATAGCTCATTTGGGAAGCGATACTTTTCTTTCAAATGCTTTATTTCATGAAGTAGGGTAGCTTTATTTTTATATTTGTATTTGTTTCATTCTTTTTCCTCAGTGGAACCTGATCAGGAGTCGAAGGAGCTGCTGCAAAATAATTTAGAAGTGAAAGACAGGTTGTCTGACAGGGATGATGGCTTGAGTTCTGAGTTTAGGACTTACATAAAGGCAAGTGATAAATGCAAAATGTTTCCTGAAGGTACTTGTATGTGAGTGCCCTTGAATTATATAGTATTTGCTAATGCCCAACTATATTCATTAGATGGTAGCTCTGTATCTACACACTGTTCTCTTACTCAGTCAAGGAGGTACCTGCTACATCAATATGCACCTTTCGGGAGAATATGAGGATTTCCAGCCATTTTCTAGTTTTGATGGCCTCCCAGTAACCATCTGAGAACTTATCGTCTTGAAATTTAAACTCTTGACCTCCAAATTCTTTTTACATTCAAGTCCTATTGAATAACACAGTTGGATCATTTTGAGGCATGTTTGATACAAAAGAATTTGTAAAATTTAGTCTTGACATGTTCACCGATTTGCAGTTAGAGAATAAAGTGCAGATACTTGCATGGATATCTGGTCAGCTCTGCATTCTGAAAAAAAATTGTATGTTTTCTCATATGGGTCCATTATGAACAGCTACAGTGCAAGTAAAAGTGAGGGAAGAAGCTATTTGAAATTAGCACTGTATTCACGTATCACTATACAATGTATTGCTGCATTGTTTTCATGCAAACAAATGTTATTAACAGGCTAGTGAGAAAAATGTGCAGTTTCGCAGTTTGATGAAGAGTGAACAAACATCAGCAAAGCAAGACCTGAAAGAACAAGTGAAAAAATTAGAATCTCCGTCACACACAATACTCTTGTAACTTAGAAGCATAGAAAATGGAGGCAAGAGTAGGCCATTGGGCCCTTCAAGTCTGTTCCGTTATTCCGTACCCTGTTATAGTTTTCTCCCCACACCCTTTGGTTGCTTTAGCCCTAAGGATTGTATCTAACTCCTTAAAACTATTTGATGTTTTGGCCTCAGCCGCTTTGTGTGGTAGAGAATTCCATGGGTTCGTCATCCTCTAGGTGAAGAAATTTCTCCTCATCTCCAGTCTGAAATGGCCTACTCTATATCCTTAGAATGTGTCTCCTGGCTCTGGACTCCCTGGTCATCGAGAGCATCCTTCCTGCATGTACCCTGTCTGGTCCTGTTAGGGCAGCATGGTGGCTCAGTGGGTTAGCACTGCTGCTTCACAGTGCCAAGGACCCAGGTTCAATTCTAGCTTCGGACAACTGTCTGTGGATTCTGTACATTCTCCCCATGTCTGTGTGGGTTTCTGCCGGGTGCTCCAGTTTCCTCCCACAGTCCAAAGATGTGCAGGTGAGGTAGATTGGGCATGCTAAATTGCTCATAGTGTCCAGAGATGTGTAAATTAGGTGGATTAAACGAGGGAAATACAAGGTTACAGGGATAGGGTACAGGGGTGAGCCTGAGTGGGAGGCTCCTTGCAGCGTCGGTGTGGACTTGTTGGGGCCGAATGGCCTATTTCCACACTCTAGTGATTCTATGATCTATGATCTAATTTTATAGCTTTCTGTGCGATCTCCCCTCATTCTTCTAAACATCAGCGAATATAGTCTAATTGATCTCGACTGTCTTCATATGTCAGCCCAGTCATCCCAGGAATCAGTCTGGTAAAACTTGTTGCGCTCTCCCCATAGCTAGAACATCCCTCCTCCGATAAGGAGACCAAAACTACACATAATACTTCAGGTGTTGTCTCACCAAGGCCCTATACAATTGCTGCAAGACATCCCTGTTCCTTTATTCAAATCCGCTCACTGTGAAGGCTAACATGCCATGTGCTGCCTTCACCACCCACTGAACCTGTATGCTAATTTTCAGCAACTGATGCACAAGGACACCTAGTATTTCCCATTGATTTTTTAAAGTGGCAGCTATTGAAGCTAATACTAACTTGATGGCTCATTCTGGAAACAATGCTTTGCATGTCACCATGCTTCCAATAGTCCAGTCCATACACAGCTGCCCACCTCAAGTGCGGAATTAATGCACATCCTTTACATTATAATCGTTGTTCTCAAACTGTTTTGGATTTCAAGGGAAACTTCAGGCAAAATGTCCAAAAATCAGCTTAATAGGAATCCACTCCATAATGGCTGAACCACAAGGTTGACCATTTCTTATCCTCAGAAGCCTGCATTTTACTTAAAGGTGTCATTTTTAAATTATTGACTTTTTACGAATTGAATAGTAGCCTTTAAATATCAACTGAGATATCAAGTTGCCTTCTGCAAAATGCCAAATTGTAGACTGATCATTTAGCATGTTAGTGCTTTCTGTATTTTGTACATCTCTGCTGGATGGTCCAGAAGTGTCTCTGCCTCCCACAACATGTAGTAATTGTGACTATAACCCATTCTTTTGTCTCCCTTGTATTCTCCTCTACTGGTGTCTCTCTACACCTATCCACATTAGTTTTGAAGAAGACAAAGTGTATTCTCCCAGTTGTATCCCACAAACACTCTCAACAGCAGCCTAGGCCATTATATGAATATCACAGCCAATGGAAACAGTTCCCTCATGATATTTGCTAAAATTGGCTCCACACGTGTAAAGAGCACTATTACAATATAATGAGAGAAGCAGTCGCTCATTTATATTTTATGTGAATTATTTTAATTATACTAATTTGTTCTACAGAGATCTCTTCCAAAAATTGCTGTTTGTAATTACCGTGGAGGGGTCTCCCACTGATCAGATGCTTTATTTCATCTGTATTCATAAGCGATAGCCAAAATTAAAGGGTTTTATGTGCAATTCAGCTTGATGCATGTAACTGTATAAAATTATCAGTGGTTGTAGCTGTGCCTTTTGGACATGTAGCAGATTTTGTTTTGGTGATACTTGTTACTTTTACACAGGAAAGGGTGATGGAGCCTGAAGAACCACTGCGAATTGAGGAAGATGCAACTTGGACGTTAGAGCATATGTTAGTAATTTTTATATTCAGCAACATCCCACTGTCAATGCATGCGATTCCTGTGTCAGGTTTTCCAGCATCGAACTTAATTTTGGGTCAGTTTTCCTGATTCTAGGAATTGGACGTGTATCCAATTGACCAGCTCTCCCGGATCCCATGTGATCTAACTTTACTAACTAGCCTACCGTGCAAAACCCTTTCAAGACCTTGCTAAAGTTCATGTAGACAATGTCTACCGCTCTGCCTTCTCTATCTTCTTGGTCACCTTTTCAAAAAACTCAATCAAATGAGGGCCTCAAAATGGGTTTAGCAACAATTTTTTGAAATTATGCCTGATTTCTTGAGACTCTCCATAGCTCAAATCCCACCAATCAAAAATGATCACTTTACAGGCTACTTTTCACCTTCTGACATGACTTGTTAATGCTGCTTGCCTTAATTTTCATAACCAGTTTCTTCGCCAACTATATAAATACCCACCATATTTGCTTTGTACAAATAATTAATTCGTTAATATGTGGTTTCATATACATGTTGTTACTCCTGCAATTTGTGCATGTTGTCTATTATTCTTCTATATGTATATTTTGTATGTATTTGAAGCTAATCACTGAAGACACTGGTAGAAATGAGCTTGATTAGTTCATTCTGCTAAGTAATACAATGTAGGCTGCTGCTTACTGCAAAAGGTAGAACCTGGACTATAATCTTGCATTAATCCTTGGTGTGGCTCAGAGGGTGAATCTGTGAATTCTTTTCAATGGAATTAAGAAATGACATGACGCCTTTGTGAAGAATTACAGGCTTCAGTTATTGTTTAGTGGCATTAAATGGCTTTCTCCATTTTTATATCGCAATTCTGTTGCAGACAAAACACCAATCAGCATCTGGACACAGAATCAGAAGCGATAGAAAACACAAGTTTGCCAGAAAGCACACTCCAGGAACAGCAGAGGTACTGCTTTGCATACCTCTTACAGTTTTATCTTCATTTGCTTTGTGCTTCTTGATATTCCTTCCAATTTCTGCTTATCCATATTAGTCTGTTCCTTCCACTTCTTTGACTTATTCAAAGAATATTTCCTGCCTCCACTAATTTCGTAGCTCATTTTTTCTGATCCTGTCCTGTTAAATGCAGTCCCTTTAGCTTCTGCTTATCAAGTTTACCCCTAAACTCTTGCAGTTATTTCTAAAGCCAATTCGGTTTTACTACTACTGCTTCAGCCATAGCTTCAGTTATAAAATTTTTATATTGATCAAAGATTGATTTGAAAACACAGCATTTACAATTTCTACCATTAATTTCCAGAGTGTTGCTTTATTTTTATTTCCTCAGTCTCTCACTTACAAGCACCACCCTCCCTGTTCTCACTGAATGCTGCATGCCTTTGTATCTGTAATCTTATAAACCTGAGAGACTATTATCACCTTTCTGTAAATCTGACTCCCAGGAGATTAATCATTACCCTTCTATATCTATAATCTTAACCCACAGTCAACTACTTAATGCTCAACTATAGATTTAATCTTAATTCATGGTAGACAAACTGTTACTTTCAAATTTACCTTAACCACAAAATTTTCTCAAGTTTTATGCTCAAATTTCTTACCTCCAGCCTTCCATTTTCTCCTCACTCTCTATGTGTCTTGTGTCTGTATAGTTCTCTGAGCTTTCCTTTATTTTCGTGTTTTTCTGTAGGATCCTTGAGTTTCGAGTATTGGATAATACAATTTGGCAGTTATTTTCTGTGCTTGTTTTCCCCAGTTTACTGTGTTCAATATCTCTCTAATTTGCTGGTTCTCTCACATAGAATCATAGGGTCATTATCATCATACAGCATGGAAGCAGACCCTTCAGTCCAAACAGCCTGTGCCGAACATAATCCCAAACTAAACTAGTCCTGCCTGCCTGCTCCTGGCCCATATCCCTTCAAACATTTACTATTCATGTACTTTTCCAAATGACTTTTAAATATTGTAACTGTACCCACATCCACCACTTCCTCTGGAAGTTCATCACACATGAACCACACTCTGTGTAAAACGTTTGCCCCTCATGTCTTTTTATAATCTCTCTCCTCTCACCTTAAAAATGTGCCCCCTTGTCTTGAAATCCCCCATCCTAGGGAAAAGACACCTACCATTATTTTATAATTTTATAACCCCCTCATTATTTTATAAACTTCTTTAAGGTCACCTCTCAACCTTCTGTGCTCCAGTAAAGAATGTCCCAGCCTATCCAGCCTTTCTTTATTACTCAAAATTTCCATACCTGGCAACATTCTGGTAAATCTCTTCTGAAGCTTCTCCAGCATGTGCAGTATCAACCAGCTATCAGGTTTATAGCCTGTATCACTACTAAACCTTAATATTCTACCTTTTAACCTTTTTAATTAGCAGACTTGCTCACCAGCAGTCTCAGTTCCTCCAGTTATTATAATTGTGTATGCAAAAGAGCACACACATCCACTGTAGTCCATTTCTTTCTGTAAGTGATGCTTGATCTTCACCCTAACTACAAACTACTTCCGCCCCTAAATTACGTTTGATTTAACCAAGAAAATATTTTCAAACAATTTACATCACAAAAATACTTACTGTATCCTTTTGGCAACTTAAAATATCCTTTTTAAATCCTGGGAACAGTTGAAGCAGCTTTCCTTATCCTCTAAATAGCCTTACAAGAAACTAAAGCTTAATAATGAACAAAAACAAAGTTGCTGGAAAAGCTCAGCAGGTCTGGCAGCATCTGTGAAGGAGAAAACAGAGTTAACATTTCGGGTCCGGTGACCTTTCCTCGGAACTGATGGTGGCTGGGAAAACGTCAGTTTATATGCAGAAAATAGGGAGGTAGGTGGGGGAGGGAGTAAACGATAGGATAGAGGCTGGGATCAGACTGGGAGGGTGTGAATAGTTTTAGTCACTAACAGTCCCCATTAACAATTATTCACCCTCCCGGCCTGATCGTTAGCAACTCCTTTGTCTGTCCAACTGTCTTTCTCTCTCTTCGGGCTCCACCCTATCATTTACTCCCTACCCCACCCACCTCCCTATTTTCTGCATATGAACTGATGTTTTCCCAGCCACCAATCAGTTCCGAGGAAGGGTCACCGGATCCGAAACGTTAATTCTGTTTTCTCCTTTACAGCTTCTGCCAGACCTGCTGAGCTTTTCCAGCAACTTTGTTTTTGTTCCTGATTTACAGCATCCGCAGTTCTTTTGGTTTTTATAAAGCTTAATAATATTGCGTTCCACTTTTCCTTTATTTTAAATTTAAAATTTAACAGTTTTTAAATACTCATTCTTGTTTTTTTTTAAGAAAGCATTTGTATGTACTTGCAAGGTTATCTTTTGGCTAGTGCCAAAACTAGAAGAGCTATCTCAAGGCTAATCAAGCAACAGCCTGACATAGTCACGATCAAGGAATCACTCTTCACAGACAATGTGCCAGACACCACCATCACATTCCTGCGTGTTCGTAAAAAAAAAATTGAGTGCCACACTTCAAGAAGATGCTTCCTGCTACTTTCTCAAAGAGAATTAGAAACAAAGAATCATAGAATCCCTACAGTGTGGAAGCAGGCCATTTGGCCCATTGAGTCCACATCACCCCTCTAAAGAGCATCCCACCCAGATCCACCTCCCCCTCCTCTATCCCTGTAACCTTGTATTCCCCATGGTTAATCCACCTGGCCTGCACACCCCTGGACACTATGGGTAATTTAGCATGGTCAATCCACTTAACCTGCACATCTTTGGACTGTGGGAGGAAACTGGATCACCTGGATGAAATGCCCACAGACACAGGAAGGGTGTGCAAACTCCACACAGACTGTCGCACGAGGCTGGAATTGAACCCGTGTCCCTGGTACTGTGAGGTAGCAGTGCTAACCACTGAGCCACTGTGCCACCCGAAATTAGGGATGGCAATAAATGCTATCCCAGGCAACAACACCCACATTCCTTGAATCTATTTAAAAAAAAGCTTGGATGGTCATTGAAAGTTTACATTCTCCTCATATTCAATTGGTACTATACTTTCCTTTGCAGTTTTGATTTGTGAATTTGTCAGAAATTATGACGTTTCATCCAATAGTCTGAAATATCTATAAGTAAGTGTGAATAAGATACATGTAAATTTTAGCTAAATGAGTCACTTCATACTCTGAGGAGCACCTGCATTTGTGTTGTTGAAGAGGCTTGATATGATTTTCAGTCAAGTTATTGAATATCTAAAAATAAATTGAATTGATTGAAAAAAAATCTAAGCTGCTACTATAAATTGTTGTCACGAACTAAAGCAACTTCTTGTTTATTTAAAATGTTTCTCAATTTCTTTGCCACAGATTCAATCTGAATTGTATGGATAGTAGTGAAGTGCATCTGTATCGTTTACATACGGAAACAACAGTCCTTCCAGAACTTAAAACATCTGCAGTAAAGTAAGTTCTATTTTTTATTTTTTATTTTATTTGGTATATGTCCATCCTTCCCTACCTCACCTGGAGTTGCTTGCTTTTCCTCCGCAGTGAAAATTTTGCACATCAAGTTTGGTATCTCACTACGTTACCATCCTTTATGCCCAAATGATCTTACAGAGTCTATTCTACCATGACACTGCGGCATGTATACTGCAGTTGGACCTGATCTTATCCTCAGCTGGTAACCATATGCAAACATTTACTGGGTAATCAGTATAGAGTATTTGGAAACACTAATAGTAATTTTCCTTTCCTAACCCAGGAACATTGAGGCCATTTGTGACTAGTGCTACCACCAGTGGCTGAAATCAACACAGGGTAGCAATGGAATCTTGTCTGTGTGGTTCAGGCACTTATTGCAAAAAGCGTAATAATAAAACAAAGAGATGCATTGCAAAGCAAATGAAATCATGTTGAATGCTTGAATTATGGGAAGGAAAGAAAATAAACTCACCAACTGAAAAGAACAGCCCAAATCTCTTGTGTGCTGTATAATCGCAGACCTGTGTCTCTCAGGTATGATGCTTTGTTTATCACGATACAGCAACTCCCCAGCATGCCCAGAGAGAAGCTGATAAGCACATAAAAAGCCTAGGCCTTTTGCAAAACCAAACTGGAAAGTTCCTTTCTGACTTCTTTAGCAGTTTGAAACTAGTCCGGGAGATCTTGTTACCTGTGATTAACATTACAATATTCCAACAGGATTTGTATGCATTTTGAGCTCTGCTCCAACCCAAAACCGTGTTTTTGGGAATGATTCAGTAAAACGCATTTGCACATTCCAGAATTTTTCTTTTCAATTTAGTCATGTACTTGGATTTAATGTTTCAGTTTGTTCCACAGCATCATAAAATTTTAGCACTAATTTTTCTGTTCAAATGTTGCTGTGTTTGTGCAAATGTCCAGATTTACAAGTTTAAATATCTACTTTCAACTGTTGAATTATTCCTTTGAGTTTCCCCAATTTTTGTTCTGGAAGTGAGCATTTAGCTATTGAGATTTAGCTGAGTGTGATTGTGTGTGCAGTAGTGATGTCTCAGCATATCACTTTGGATGCAGCCTGTTGATCATGAGCAGAGTGTCAAAATAGTTAAGACGAAGGGCTTGTTTTAAATTTTATCTGCCAGAATTCATTTTAAACTTAGACTAGATGAAATATAAGTGATCATGCACTGTCCATTTTCTTTCGTTATTAACAACTCTGGAATTTAATGCTCTTCACTGTTGTCAGATTCTTACAAGGTAGTATCTCTTACTTTGCTTCTCTGTATTGTCTATTTGGGTAGTAATTTGCAAGCCATGACTAACGTTATAACTGAATATGATGCTTCTTTTATTTGTTCCAGTGGGCAGACACCAAAAATCCATTCCTCATCAAAGTTCTCCAGTTACCAGGTGAGGAAAAATAATAGAAGATATCTATTGACACATCAGAGGAGTTCATTAGTTTTTAAGATTCAGAACGAATAAGGAAAAAAACTGAAATAATTTAACAGTACATGTGGTAGTCAAAACTTTCGTAATGTTCTACTAGCTTGGCCAGTTTTCCCAGTTAGAAGCTTAGCTGTAATTGTCAGGAAGGTGCCAGGTTAGGGCTGAGTTCTTGAATCTCAGTATGGGTGGCTATGGAAGCTGCAACTTGTTGGTGTTACTGGATGGAAAACACCAGCTCTGCCTCAAATAAAGATTGCCGGAGAAACTCAGCAGGTCTGGTAACATCTGTGAAGACAAAACAGAGTTAACATTTTGAGTCCAGCGAACCTTCTTCAGAACCAACTCTGACTCGTGTTCTGGCGGTGAGGACAGAATCTGTGAGATGCTCTGTACTGTAGAATAGTTCATTGGCAGTTGCTGTCAAAATTGTTGGTAATCTGAAAGGTGTTAGAGAGACTAAAAAGGTTAAGAGGAAAGTTGACATAGAATAGGCTTGTATTCCCTTGTGCAAAAGATTGAGGGATTTCAAAGTGACTAAAGGATTTGTTAGCGTCAGTAGAAAAAATCTAATTGCTGTAATGGGGTTGTGAAGAAGAAGAGGCCATACACTTACAATAGGAATTACGTCGTTCAAGGTGATATCATTAAGCCTTTCGTCACATACATTGCAGGGGAATCCTCCAACTCGCTTGCCTTGGGAGTTCAGTTAAAATTTCAACTGGATATATTTTTGTTTGTTAAGGCTATAAAAGGTCACAAAATGAAAGCACATCAAGGGATCAGTCATGATGATAGAAGAGGCTGAGGAGGTTGAGTGGTCTACTGTTTTTAAAATGTTTCTGTGGAACCATAGTTGAGAAGGGGCAAATGTCTCCAGAAAATGGTAAAATTAGCAAGGGATGGCAGTGATAAAGGGTGTATATTGCAGTTTGTCATTAAAATGATGTCAACTTCAGTGGATTTTCTGGGTTTACTGCTGACATGGAAAATAATGTTCAAACAGTTCATTGTATTTATGTTCAAAGTGCATAATGCAAAATTAAAGTAAAATTATTATCACTACTGTAATCAGATTTATCTTCATTGTAAGTAAGTGCACTGTATTGTGGGTTTTACTTTCCATGCTAAAGCAGCTTTCTTTTGTTCTTATTTTTAGGCTCTTGCTCCATTTTGTGTAGATGAGGATTCTTCATCTGAGGTCATTCATTCTATTCCGTAACAATTCCTAACCTCATTAACTTTGATTCATCTGTTTCTGTACATTACTAACACTTGTTGCATGAAAATACTAGTACTGTACGAAAGTAGACGCAAAATGCTACAGTGCAAACCTTTCCCTCTAAAACATCACTTGTGAGCTTCAGAAGACCAAAGGTTAAAAATTGCCGACAGTGATAAATTATCATTTAATATCTCTCTGTCGTTTATTAACACTGCATATTTAATTTGAATAACAGGATGAGGGGATTTTGTTTTTATATTTGTTCATGGGATGTGGGTGTCACTGGCTGGACAGCGTGAATTGCCCATCCCTAATTGTCCAGAGTGCAGTTAACAGTCAGTCACATTGCTGTGGGTCTGATATCAGACCTGGTAAGGACAGCAGACTTCAGGTTAACCGGATGGGCTTTCATGACAATCAACAGTAGTTATATGGGGCTAGGTCGATTTCATTTTTTATTACTGAATACAGATTTCACTCTGTTATGGTGGGATTCGAACCCTGTCTCTGGAAGAATAACGGCCAGTGACATTAGCGCAGTCCTACCGCTTCCCCTCCCTTTGATGCAAGCGTGTTAGGTAGCAGCACAATGATGTAGTTAAAAGGAACTAACTTACTATGGTGGAAGGCTGTTTTCTTTACAGTACTAGCTGAATGCAAATTTATGACAAAGAATTAACAGAGATTACTTTGCATAAACAGTATGTGGAATTTTCTGCCTCAAGCTCTTGCTAAACTAGAGTATATAAATTACTTTAAAAGGAAATTAATTGCTTGATAATGGGAGTATTAAACACGAGGGAGTGAACAGCAGGGTGGGATGCGTTCACATATTGGTAAAGGTGCTAGCATACACATGATGAATGTGGCAAAATGAGATTCAATAATGAACTAATTTGCCAGTATAATTTGTTCTTGGTTGAAAATGCTTATGTGGTGTGATTTGTGGTAGGTGAACTGCACACCATTGCTGGTCATACTGTATGATGTGAAATTGTGGAATGCATCAGCTGTTGGATCGCAAGTGACCTCAGGATAAAGAATATTACTGCTCCCGACCCATAACATTTTTAAAGTCATATGTCTGTGTACACATCCTATCAACTTTCAGCCTGCGGTGGGGCAGATCTAACTACATTGTGATGAGATGACCTGTGCAGTTTCCGTTATTAATATTTATTTTATTTATTCATTTTTTCATTCACGGGATGTGGGTGTCACGGGCTGGGCCAGCATTTATTATCCATCCCTAATTGCCCAAAGACAACCACCTTGCTGTGAGTCTGGAGTCACATGTAGACCAGACCAGTTGAGGATGGCAGTTCCCTTCCCTAAAAGACATTAGTGAACCAAATGGGTTTTTCCAAAAATCGATAATGGTTTCATAGTCATCACTAGTCTTTTAATTCCAGATTTTTATTGAATTTAAATTTCACCATCTTTCATACCACCCAATGCCAGACAATGGCTATCTCCAACAAGAGAGAGTGAAACTGTCTCCTGTTGATAGTCTCCATGACATTGTTCTCACTGAATCCTGCACTTTTAACATCCTGGGAATTACCATTGACCAGAAACTGAACTAGACTAGCCATTTTGATAGTAATTGCCAGATGAACACAAGATAAGTTTAGAAGAATGCGGAGTGGTCTTATCCCAAGGTAGAAATGCCAAATACTACGGGGCATAGGTTTAAGGTGAGAGAGGGGACATTTAAAGGAGATGTGCGAGGCAAGTTTTTTGCACAGTGGGTGGTGGGTGCCTGAAGCACACTGCCAGGGGAGGTTGTAAAAGCAGATGCAATAGCAATGTTTAAGAACCATTTAGACACATGAACAGGCAGGGAATAGAAGGATATGGACCAAATGGGCTTGGTTTAGGATGGCATCATGGTCACATTGACATGGTGGGCCCAAAGGGCTTGTTCTACGCTGAACTATTCTATGTTAGTTGCCATGGCAGGATTCAACCCCAGAGCAATATCTGGTCTCTAGATTAACAGTCCAGTGATAATACCACAAGGCCACACCTATGTGTGGTAGAATTTATAATTTATATATATGGTTTAAAAATAAAGGTAGAATGTATAACATTAAAGTTGTAATCACAATGCATCATCACATCCTGGTCCAGTAATTTCTCTCACCTACAATTTCCCACTTACCTGAAGGTTGCACTTTTTCTTGACTGTCTGAGAAGTTGTATTGTAAAATGTTACATACTGAATTTCTCCAGATTTATGCAACAGGTAGCAGATTGTATCATTAAATTCTTCAGATGATTAGATATTCAGTTCACCATGTTCCTATGCACAATTTAGTTGCTTATATGCAGGGATAAGATTTTCTCAGCATAACTGTACAGGTATTGATGTGTAAGTTATTTAAATTGAAATTTATTTGTCAATTTTTATGTTCATTGGTGGTAGGCAGTTATATATAAAAGATTTCCATTGAATGTTGACATTCGCTGAACTGACATTTGTCAGTTGCATATAAGGAGATATCTCTTCAGCTATTTCTCAAACCAGCAATTAGCTTTCCACAGGCAATGCAGTCCTCAAGTGAGGTTTTTTTAATTCCTTCATGGGATGTGGGCTTCCTTGGCTGGCCAGCATTTATTGCCCTGAAGAAGGTGGTAGTGAGTTTCCACCTTGAACTACTGCAGTCCATTTGGTGTAGTTACATGCACAATGTTCTGGAGGAGGGTGTTCCAGGATTTTGACCCAGTGACACTGAAGGAACAACGGTAAACGTCTAAGTCAGGATGGTGAGTGGCTTGGAAAGGAATTTGCAGAGGGTGGTGTTCCCGTGTATCTGCTACCCTTGTTCTTCTGGATGGAAGTGGTTGTGCGTTTGGGTTAAGGGAAGGTACTATCAAAGGAATCTTGCTGAATTTCTGCAGTACGTATTGTGCATGGTGTACGTTGCTGCCACTGAGTGTTAGTGATGGAGCAAGCGAATGTAATGGAATGTGGTGCCAATTAAGTGGCTGCTTTGTTTTGGATGGGGTTGAGCTCCTTCAGTTTTGTTGGAACCACGACTCATCTAGGCAAGCGGGAAGTAGTCCATCAAGCTCTTGATTTGGCCTTATAGATGGTGGGCAGGCCTTGGGGATTCAGGAGGTGAGTTATTCCCTGCTCCATCTTGCTGCATTTGGACATGGACTGCTTCAGTATCTGAGAAGTTGCAGATGGTGCCACCTAATCACAGTTTAGTTTACTGGCCAAGCTGCGGTCGAGGAATCACGGAATGGCCTGAAAACACTCAAGGTCAATGTAGCCAACTGGAAGAGGAGGCTTGCGTCCCATTTTTGTGAGGAAGTCTGGGGCTTCAAAGGTCCTCAATTCCATTTGATTCTTTGAAATTGAACAATGTATTTGTTGGATTGAAACCTATTTTAATGGTGACTGCTGTCTCTAATTGTAGACGGAAAGCTCTACGTTGGAGCTAGAGTTTCAGAGGAAACGAGAAGTTATGCTGGAGAGAGCGAGGCATGAAGCTCAGGTGGCATCATCGCAGCGATTGGAATGGCAGAAGTCTAAGCAGGTGCTAAAGTCACTTGACGTCTGTATATGATTGAAATATAAGAATTTGAGAAAAGGCCATTCAACCTATCAGGCCTGATTGATCTAATGTCAATGTATGATTAATCCCAGCCTAATCTATCAACTTCCCGTGCTGATGCTCTATTTCCTATAATTCCTTTCCAAAATAATGAAGCTGTGCCCTTAGTGTCCACCTTGAACATAAATCAAATTTGGCTTCTTAGTTACCACTACATCATCTACCTTTGCTAGGAAGCTGATCTACATGAAGACTATTCTGTCTTTGTTTGAGACATTTTAAAGTTAGGCTTTCATTCACAAGGCTTATATTTATTGTCCAGATCGAATAACTTGCCTGCTGCAGTTGTGTCCAACTTGTACTATTTTAGTGATTGGTATCATATCACCTTCTTCCCAAGAGAGAAAAATTTATCCAGTTAAGCCTTTTTCTTTAAGTTGCAAGATACAAAGGCTTAGAATCACCTTGATCATATAATCCCACAAAGCATTATTTTTTATGAGCTAAGGTGATCAAAAATGCATGATAAATTTGAGGCTCAGTGTCACCACTGACCTGTAAAATATTCGTAAAACCTATTCTGCCTTTCAATCCATTGCAATCCCAGAATCCACTTAACATGATAAAGATGAGTTAACAGCCCACCTGCAGAGTTGGTCTTAAAAGTCTTTGTAAGTGATCATATTCTCAATATGATTAGTTGTTAACATTAGGGTGGAAAGGTGGCTCAGTGGTTAGCACTGCTGCCTCACAGCAGTGTACAATTCCAGCCTCAGGCAACTGGCTGTGTGGAGTTTGCACTTTCTCCCCGTGTCTGCAGCGCGGGTTTCTTGTAGGTGCTCCAGTTTCCTCCCACAGTGTAAAAATATGCAGGTTAGGAGGATTGGCCATGGGAAATTGCCCATAGTGTCCAGGGATGCGTAGGCTAGGTGGATTAACCATGGGAAATGCAGGGTTACAGGGAAAGGGTAGGGGGTCTGGGTCTGGAAGGGATGGTCTTTAGAGGGTCGGTGTGGACCTGATGGGTCAAATGGTCTGCTTCCACACTGTAGGAATTCTGTGATTGTATTCAAGGATTCTATGCTTGGTAACTACTCTGCGCAACCAGTGGTTTCTCCCAAATGTTTCTCCTTTCTACTCACCTCTTAAAGGTAAACACCCTGTTGTCCACTTATCTAGTTACTTAGTCTGATGTATAAAGTCTTATTTTTATATAACTGTATTTAGGTTGCTCTGTTTTATCTCAGCCTACCTGCAGAGTTGGTCTAAGAATCTTTGTAAGTGCTCATATTCTCAATATGATTAGTATTGGGCAGCTATGAGTAAGGGAACAATTAAATAGTTTGAAAAAACCCACTTTCTTGACTGTTTCTATGCAGAAGTCTTAGAACTTGAGCCACAAATTGCTTTACTGGAGAAATAAAACCCAGTCTGTTTAAAAGAGCTATTTGTGGGTTGTGGTTGTCATCTTAAGGTCAGCATTTGTTGCCGGCTCCTAATTGCCCTTGAGAAGGCGGTTGTGACCCATCTTGAGTCATTTCAGTCCAGGAAGGGAATTTGAGGACTTTGGTCTAGTGACAATAAAGAAATGATGATGTACTTCCAAGTTGGGATAGTGTGTGATATGGAGGGGAATTTGGAAGCAATGGTGTGCCATTTTCTGATGCCCTAGCGACCCTCCCCCCAACAATGAAAGCTGAGATTCATGAGTGCTACTAGTAGAATGTGAAAATGAAACTTAAGACACAAATTATTTCTTGCCCATCAACCTAAAGATGTATCCTTGCAAAAATAAAAAGTTTCTGTTGAGCCTACATGTTTGCTCCAGTTCCTTAGTTTTGCTCCTCTTCATCTGATACGATCTCAAATCAGGACATCCTATAGACGTCAAAACATGCTCCTGATAGAGACAACAAGGTGCAGGGCTGGATGAACACAGCAGGCCAAGCAGCATCATAGGAGCAGAGAGGCTGATGTTTCGGTCCTAGACCCTTCATCAGAAAAGGGGGAGGGGAAGGGGGTTTTGAAATAAATAGGGAGAGAGTGGGAGGTGGATAGAAGAGGGATAGAGGAGAGGATAGGTGGAGAGGAAACAAACAGGTCGAAGAGGCGGGGATGGGGCCAGGAAAGGTGAGTGTAGGTAGGGAGTTAGGAAGGGGATAGGTCAGTCCAGGGAGGACGGACAGGTCAAGGGGGCGGGATGAGGTTGGTCGGTAGGAGATGGAGGTGCGGCTTGAGGTGGGAGGACGGGATAGGTGGGAGGAAGAACAGGTTAGGGAGGCAGGGACGAGTTGGACTGGTTTTGGGATGCGGTGGGGGGAGGGGAGATTTTGAAACTTGTGAAATCCTTGACCTGTCCGTCCTCCCTGGACTGACCTATCCCCTTCCTAACTCCCTACCTACACTCACCTTTCCTGGCCCCATCCCCGCCTCTTCGACCTGTTTGTTTCCTCTCCACCTATCCTCTCCTCTATCCCTCTTCTATCCGCCTCCCACTCTCTCCCTATTTATTTCAAAACCCCCTTCCCCTCCCCCTTTTCTGATGAAGGGTCTAGGCCCGAAACGTCAGCCTCTCTGCTCCTATGATGCTGCTTGGCCTGCTGTGTTCATCCAGCCCTGCACCTTGTTGTCTCGGATTCTCCAGCATCTGCAGTTCCTACTATCTCTGCTCCTGATAGAGCTGGTTTTGGTTAAGCACCACATAAAAACTGTCATGTCGATGAGTCTGAATGCAATTACTGAGAATTGAGTCCTGGTCTTCAAGTCCAGCAATATTTGTTGTAATTGAGAAGAAAACATAAATCAGAGCAAGAATAGAGTAAACCATACAGCTACTATTTTTCAATATTATTGATTACTATTCAATATGATTGTGGCTGATCTTGTGCCTCAAATTCACTTTTCCTCTGGGTCCATATGTCCCAGATTCCCTGACAGTTCAAAAGTCTGCCTGACTTGGTCTAAAATCGATTCAACGATGGAGCATCCACAATCCCCTGGGTTTCACAAGGATTCACAAGGGTGAAGAAATTTCGTCCGAAATGATCAGTCCTAATCCTGAGGCTGTGACCCCACCCCCTCATCATTACTGAGGCATTCTGTTTACCGTGAAAGAGAAAACTACTGAAGACAGATGTTTTCTTTATTTTTTTTTATTTCTAAATAAACTGTGCTTCATTTTCTGAAGAAGGGTCTAGGCCCGAGACGTCAGCCTTCCTGCTTCTCTGATGCTGCTTGGCCTGCTGTGTTCGTCCAGCTCTACACCTTGTTATCTCTGTACTTCATGAGAGTTAGTTTTGTGTTTTAGACCCCCAATGCAAGTTTAGGGTGATTTATAATTTTGTGATTGAATGTTCTAAATGTTTTTTTCTTTGCTTTTTTTTAAACATGCGTCAAAATGTTTCAGACTACTAACGAGAATCTGGAGAGGAGTGATTCTCAAACTGAGGTAAGTGTCACAAGGGAAAGCCTGTGTCGAAACTTAATTCCCTCCTGTCTGAACTGTGCATCCCACATGTACTGGGGATGCTCAGATATAAATCTGGGAGCAAGACAGTAGCAGTACAAAATGAGTTAGTGAACTGTGTCTAAGCATTTGCTTTCTCTCCATCAATCCTTCCCAGAAGAAAAGCAAGTATCAATATTAGTGACCTCTGTTTGTGGGTTGAAAACCCAGCCTGCATCTATTTGGTTGAGTTGCAGTTGCTGTTATAGTTGGTTGTCTCCCAGCTGTGTTTCTTTACCTTCTGGCTGAGAAGCAGTGCTTTTATAAACAAACTAAGTCTTCAGTGAACACAAACCTGTACGGGGTTCATTCCTTTCATTCCTTGGTACCATTCAATAAGCCTAGGCTTAATTATTAGTATGTTATTGTGGCTGACTGCACGTAGAGGGCTGCCAGCTATCTTTATTTGTTCCAACGGAGAGTTGTGTTCAGTCTCCAGCTCAATTAATGTATCCCAAGGCTAATTGGTCAGCTGCTTTTAAAAGCATCAAAGGGCACAATGAAGTACTAAAAGTGCAGTAACTAGTCTTGCCCAATATGCAACCCTTTTCAAAATAGAAAACCCATCAATATCTGTAACACTTTTCAATTATTGCTTGAATGATTGACCCTGGAGGAAAGTATGTTGAGGTGACCATGACTGGTGAGTGCCATGCAGCCACTCCTAGCGGCATCATGCATAGACAGTGAGCCAGGGAAGAGAAGATAGATCTTCCTTGGGAAAGCACAGATCATTTTTGTCCTTTATTAGGCCACAGAATTCCCAACCTCTGGCCTCCTCTTGTAGCTACAGGATTATGGTGGGCCCAGTTAAGTTTCTGGTCATTGCTAGGCTTCAGAAGAGCATTCAACACTGCAGTACTATTGAATTTAGATTCCCACAGCATTTGGACCTCTTCTGAAGATGTGTGTATAATTTGTTAGAAATCTTAACATGTAATTAAACTTTTTGTCAACCTTTTTCCTGTGTTATAAACACAAAAACTTGTGACTTCAGATGGATTCTGAGATTGCAGTGTGATGTGATATCAACATTTTCTGTTATAAGTGAGGCCATAAACATTTACAATGGAAATATAAAAAGAGCAGAGGCCTTTAAAAAGGATCTGAAATATGCATGTATCTCCTGGTACAATTAATATCCTTGTCTATCACCTTGTTTACCCGAAGAATACACTTGAACTCCCAAGTGCAGCCTGATGAGAAATAGATTAGTTGCTTTTCAAAAAGATGCATATAAAAATTGCATCAGATAATCATTCCCATCAGAATGTTCTGCTGAGAAATGGTACAACTGTCCAGCTCTAATGAGATCAGAGTTAAGACAGGTTGCTGAAATTGGCTTTTCTGTATTTCTGTTGCAACAAGTGATGTAAAGTCATGAATTATCTTCAATAATATAGCTGATTTTATTTCATTTAACAGCTTGATACATTACTAAGAGGAATATTAAATCTTAACACATATCAGCCCTGCTGCATCTCAAAACTTAAAAAAAAAAATTTTCAAAGAAAGTATTCTTGGCAGGGATGTGGCTTCAAAATGTTTATAAAGTGTAGCAATCTGTTCATTGTCACAGTAATGTCAGTGAATCACTGAACACGTTTGCAGTTAGATGCTGTTCCAACTTAATATAGAATTAAAACAAAATGTCCAATTGCACGTTAAACCTTTGCTATATAGAAAATTTAAGCTACCACTGTCACACTGATACACTAAGCTGAGCGTTTTTAAAAAGTAATTTTATTTGTTATCCTATAGGATGAAGACAAGACTCCTACAGTAACTCCCACAATGTCTCCTGTGGCATCTCCCACTGCTCCCTTTGGACTGAAACCACGATCTGGTAAGGAAACCTTTTAACTGGCTCACAATAACAGGTAGCGGTCATCTTATTCATGCAGTACACAGTGAGTTTGAAAGGATTCCTCCAAGAATGCCATCTATTATTTAGACCAAACTTTCAAAACTAAACCATTAAGGTGGTGGGAGGAAATGTGGAAGATCTATGTTAAAGATGAAAGCCTTGGCTGTTTCTTTCAGTGGAAGTGAGGTAAAGAGACCACTGCTCTTTGGAACGTAAACAGTGACATATAAGCATGGAATCCATTGACGTAAAATATTTACGTAGCTATTAGCTTTGTAACTCTGGTGAATTATGGCACGTTTTCAAATACTTTGGGACTATTGGGGTTTATGCAGAGGTTTTCAAAGTTGTATTTTCAAATTTTGATCTGGTTGCTAATGTGGCCACTAGTTTCTAAAATCTTGTTCACCTTCTGACCAATCCATACCCAATAGATCATTGTAAACCCGCACTGACAGTTCAGCTCCCTCTTTCATTGTTAGTATCGTTTCTGTCAATAGATTGAATGATCTCAAACATAGGTCACTGGTGACAATTTCTAGTGCCCTTATTTGCATCATAGTTTGCAATAATTTTCACATTAGAATTATTAGTAAAGCCAGAGTTTGTTAGATTTTATCATGGGCAAAGTTTTCTGTTTCTGGAGCTGTTCTATTTGAAGTTAAAGAAGAATGGGTGTGTGGTATCTGTTTTGAGTTATTCAGTTGCCTGGGGGACACAATAAAGCTTGGAGTTGCCTGCTAACATTGCATAGACCAATATTATTTTGTTTTAGATTTCCTTTGTGTTCTAAGAGTGATGATTTGCGCATCTTCCGTTAATTCGAGTCTTGCTTATCTCCCCAATTAAGCATTATAGCTGTGCAATGTGTTTCAGTTTGTGGTTGTTACATCTGGTAATATCATTCCAGTAACTAGTGACTTAATTGGAAACATCTGAGGAAGATGTAGGAGTAAGGTATCATTTATTTTGTTTTCGCAATAGCCATGTCATTTCATTAAAAAATGTTTGTCATTGTCCTTCAAAAAGCAGTAAAGACTGGAACAAATGCTTGCTTGACCTTGTCCCCTACATCAAAGAGCCCATTGACTGATGAGTGGGAGGTTGTACTTTGAACTGTAAAATATCCACAATTATTTCTACTGTTGGATTATTTTCAATTACAGATTTCCACGCGTCACAGTGGCTCACTGACGGTGCGTTAAGCTGTAGAATCCATATTGTAACAAAGAAGTATAATTGTTATCAATTTATCTCTGAATGCAGAGCTTCATTAAAAAAATTAAATTATAATTGCAGCCTTTTTCCCAGTTAAATTCTTCAGCCTAGGATTTTGTGGAACTTATTGTTCATGATTAGCCATAATTTCTGGTACTTTTATTTGAATTGACTGAAACAGGTAAAAGAATCAGAGCTGCCACTTACATAAAAGAAAAGTGTTCATAGATGAATACTGATTAATGAACACTGAGGGAGGGGATAATTGCAAGTAAGCAAATTATATCCTCTGTATCAGCTTGTGTTTGAAGTTTAAGTGGCTTTGTTTTGCTTTTGTCCTCTTCAATTTGCGAATTCATGAGCTAGGGGTAGAATATTTTGCTGATATGCTGTATCAGCATAAACCATATCTATTGGCAGTAATGACTCCCTCTAATCTACCCCAGGTTTGTTCTAGCCAATCTCAGAAAAGAGCCTTCACCTGCACCAGTGTGCCATATTTGTTTCCTGCACCAGTTATTTGGAAAGTCTTTGTGAAGGGAACTGGCTAATTTTGTGCTGTGGGCCCTTGCCCACTGGGAACTTGGTTTAAGTGGACCAAATGGAGTAAGTGAAGGTTCAAACTCTCATCCTCCCAGTTGAAACTATTCAGATAATTTTCCAGAGGTGAAAGAATAGCGTAGAAATATGCCATCGACTTTTAGTTTTGTTTGTGCATATTTGAAATGTGAGCATGGGACCTAACTCAAAGGGTACCTTATATAAGAAAGTTGCTGGAAGTACCTGTGCTTTTATTAATTAACTACAAGCTAGAGGCTAGGTTAGCGCAGTTGGCTAAATGACTACTTTTTGATGCAGGGTGACAGTAACAGCAAGGAATCAATTCCCTTCGTTGCTGAGGTCACCATGAAGGCCCCAGTTCCTCAACCTTGCCCCTTGCCACAGGTTAAACTCAGCACCAGTCATCTGTTTCTGATGAGAGAGCAGTCCAATGGTCCTTTAGGACTATGGTGACGTAGCTAGATGCTAAATATATAAGGCAAGAGTCTTATGAAACCATAACCAATTTCATTGGTGTATTTGCAATTAAATGTTAACAGAAAATGTTAGGACTTTGAAGTGACTGAGGCAGAGATTTTTAAAGAAAAATTGGATAGATATTTGAAGTGATGAGGAGAGGACAGGATCAATTGCAAATAATCAGAGATTGTCAGAAAGAGTATCCTAAGTATCTATAGATTCTAGAGCAGTATAGTGCCCTCACTTTGACTCTTGCCAAAATTCATTGGTGGTTCATGACCATTACACAAGCCTGTTGGTCAAGTTAGGTTTTGCTTGGTGGGGTCACATATTTTGATCTTAAACCAAGGAGGAATTAAGTTTCTGCTCTGGTAGTTTGTAGTTGTTCACTATAATTAACCCACACTAACTTTAGTTCTTTTATTGTATCATTATTTGATCAGCTGTAATGTGTAATATTTAAACTAAGTGATTATGAGCATTGATGAGTTTTTACTGTAGCTTTTGTGTAATTGTTCTCATGTTTTCATTATATGTCAATATAGAGATTAGTCATGGCAGAAAGTTAATTGCATGATTTGATTTGTATCTGATAGCTAACAGTTTTTTTTCTTCATTTGTTTTGTGTTGTGTGTTTCTTCACACTTTTTTTTTGTCCTTTTTAATCTTGAATTTCCCGGTTCAACCTTGTATCGATTCACATTAAACTTGCATTGGCTGCTACTGGTGCATAAATTCTGATCTTTGACTTTTCTGGTCCACCTGGTATTTGTCCAATGCCTCTTGGACTTGCTTTGTATCTACTTTATGTCCTTGCCACCTTCAGTCCAAGCCAACTCTCCTTCTTTGGACTCCCTTCCTCCCTCCTTCAGAGAGTTGACACAGACACACATAGAGGAACGCAGTACCGTCACTACCCCTCAGGAAGAAGACAAAAGTCATGGTATGTGTGTTGCCTTAGTTTATGTGTTGGTGCGCTTAATGAACTAACTCCATTTTAATATATTAGGCCACGTTTGAGCACAAACATAATCTTCAAATGTTCTAGAATGGTTCCAAATAATTTAGGCTTGAATTCGCTCCTATTTATTGGACTTTTTGTAAGGAGTGTTGCCATGTCTTATGATTTCAAATGATGTGATCAGTCTATTAATTGACAGATTAAAATAGACAGAATGAAGCTATTAACCAATCTCCTATTCAAAATTCTTGCAAAGGTTTAAAGTTGTCAATAAAGCAGCAAGTTGTTTAGAATTTTCTTTGTTAGGCTCACAGCATGATTATGATTTGGTAGATGAATTGGGACTAGTGTTAAAGGAAAGCTGATAAACCGTGCACAGTGAAACTCTTCCTAAAGTTGAATAAAAACAAAGTTTTGTGGACGCTGGAGATCTGAAATAAAAACAGAAAATGCTGGAGAAACTCAGCAGGTCTGTCTGTATCTGTGGAGAGAGAAGCAGTTAATAATTTGAGTCCATTGTGACTCCTCTTCACATCCGATTCCAAATCCTAAAATTGGGTGGGTGCCAAGTAATTTTAACTTTCAATCCGTATTTAGTTCAGTTACTGTGGGTTACATTAGAAGACATCATTTTGTTTGATTGTAATTGATGCCAAGGAAGAAATTGCACATTCACTAGGATAGGATTATTATTGACAGGATTCTTTTAAGGACAGGGCTCTCTGCCAGGGATCTCTCGCTCCAATCTATGGAACCATTCAGCCTCCTTGATTAGGGAATCTAGAAAAGCCTACATCTGGCTGTTTTTAAGCATCTAGGAATATCAAATAGAATATTTTTCTTTGGAAAGCAAAATGTTGCAGAGGATGGAAATCTGAAATAAAAACAGAAATGCTGGAAATTCTCAGCAAGTCAACCAGGATCTGTGAAGAGAAAAAACTGTTTCAGGTTGGGTTGACATTTCATTAGTGTTGGGAAAAGTTAGGAATGTAATAGTTTTTAGTAAGTACTGTGAAAGGAGCAATTCTTATTACATTTCCAACTTTTCCCAGCTCTGATGAAAGGTCATCATCTGAAACGTTAACTCTGGTTTGTTCTGCACAGAGGGTGCCTGAACTTTTTCCAACTTTTGCTGTTTTTTACGTTTTCTTTGGTGTTAGTGTTAGTGTTCCTACCACATGGTTTAATATATTGCAGAAGAGATTTTGGCTTTGCCTTTTTTGTCGGATGGGAATGCGTGATTAAAAGATGTCTGTTTATGAAGTTTGATGAATGCTTTTGGAGCTCAGCCAGTGTGCTGCTCCTTTCAGCTCTGTTCCATGGTTTGAACGTGTTATGTTACACTGGCCTTTCCTTGCACTCTGTATTTCCATTTGTTTGCTGACACAACTTGAAAGTAGTCACTAGTATGTCAAAAATTAACAGATAACATTTGTATGTGGAATATGTGAGATTGGTATGCATGATAGATAAAGGACTTTATGCCCAGCAAATAATGTAGTTGGAAATGGTATGATTTTTGGTTCATCTTTGACAGGAAATGCAAATTAATATATGAAGTTAGGGAGATTACTAGGGGAGAACATGCCAATGGGATTAGTTTAGGATTTTTACAGTACTTAATACTGAATGGTTTGGTCCAAATTTAGCTTCACATGAAGCATGGCCTTCTTCGGTGATGTGGTGGAGAATTTCTGTTTCTCACGAAGTGGCACTCAAATGCTGGGAAATGGGATTAGAGTGGATTCATACTTAATGACTGGCACAGACGCAATGGGCTGAAGGGCCTGTTTCCATTCTGTTATACTCTATGACATTCCTCTGTCAGTAACTCTGTCCAGGAAAGAATTGCAAGCAGAAAAGATGACAAATAAAATCATTAGCTGTGGAAAAGATATGGAGTAGGAAGTTAAATCAAAAGTAAAATACTACAGATGCTGGAGAACTGAAATAAAAACAAAGTGTTGCAGGAACTCAGCAAATCTTGTACCATTTCTTTAGAGAGAAAAACAGAATTAATGCTTAAGATCCAGGGTACAGCTATTGAGTAGTTAGGGTCCTGGCAGTGGAATTGAACCTTTATACTTTGTCACTGCTGAATTTACTTTCCTTTATCCTGTTCTCTACTGCTACGTTCTTTCCAACCAGAAACCATGAGAATTTTTTATTTTATTTAGTTCTAGATGAGCTGCTTCAGGTTATTCTGTTGATCCTTTTTCTTGTGTAGTGCTCTTGTGTTGCTAATATCCTAACTTTTATATCTAAAAATGGCAAGGCTATTTTCAAACTTCTAGGCCTGAAGTGTTTCTTGCTATGATTTGGCTTTCCTGTTTTAAATATGCATGAATATATTGACAGGTAACAAAAGACTAACTGGTGTACTGAGCATGCCTAACATCATTGATGTCCTAAGCATTATGTCTGAACATGTCTTTCTCTACAACTCCATTCATATGCATGCACTCTCCTGTGAGAGACAATGCACAGGGTCAATAAAGGAGAAAGTGCTCTAAAAACTCTTCTGACATCGGTAATTGACCTTTGTTGATTTGTGCACAACAATGACTCGCCCTTTTTCTTTCTTAACCTCTTTCAGTATTGCCTGGAAATGATGTGTGTATTGTGTGTTAGCCCTATCAATAGGAATGACACTAATTTAAATTGAATGGTACTTTCAAATGTTTTAACCAATACCCTGGTGCAACTAAATCATCTTTGAATTGATCCTCTGCTGTCTTAAGTTATGCAAGGATACTAAAATCATGTGCAAACTAACTTACCATTCTCTTAACGCCAGTGTCAGGCCATGGACTTGGCATTCCTCTAGATTAAACCACACCCACCAACCCAATCTTTCCAGTCCTCAAACTGGAGCTAGTTCCTAATGCAGATTTTCAAATTCCTGCTGAAACCAGTAAATTCTATCATGTGATGTAACTGAGCTCAAAGTACTTTCTCAAAGGCTTTTGAATGTCCAAATAGGCAGTGTCTCCTGGATTTCCATCATCCCAGTAACCTTGTGACATCCTGAAAGAATGCTTTCAAATTTATGTATTTAAATAAAAAAGATACAGAGGAATTCTTCACAATAGACCTTTTTAAAACTGTTTAGGTAGGTTAGAGAATTGGAAGTTTCTTCTTTTGGACCATCACACAACTTTTATCATTTATCATTCGAATAGACTTATTTGTTTCCTTTTCTGTTGCACTTGACTCATTTGTTCTATGTCCCACTCCTCCTGGCCTCTAAATGAGCTAAAACGTCAGAGGGCCCTTCTTGTGGCACTCTTACAAGATTAATTTGAATAATCCTCATTGCCCTTTTTTTTCCAAGAATAGTGCTTTTTTGAGTGTGGGAGAAGGCTGACTGTCTCACGCCTTCAAACAAATTTGCATTCTGATGTGTCGCGATCCATTACTGTAATTGCTGCAGTTTGAAATGATTAAAAATGATTAAAATGATCAAACCGAGAAGCAGGATCGTGGAGGGTGACTAATTAGGAGCAAATGCAGAGATGTGGGATCAGAAAGTGCAGCATCAGGAACCCGGGAAGGACATTGTGAACTGGGCCAAGGGTATACATGCAACCGTGAAGAGTACAAATGGTTGCCACAGTCTCAATGCAGCTAACAGCTCTATATTTGTAACCTGTTCCCAAGTCTTCTGTTGCAGGATAAGTGGATGAATATTTGGGGGAACAAAAATTAGCCAGGACATGGAGAATGAGAGTAAGGGGACCGCACTTGAAAAGCTGACACAGAACCAAAAGACAGAATTGCAATCTTTATTATCTGATTTGGTGATTTGTTGGGCTTTAGCTGATGCTGGTCTGTTACAAAAGCAGCAGACAGAAGTTAATTCACAACCACCTCAATTATTATCATTCCTCACTTTTAATATCAAATTTGTGGCTCAAAGGGGAGAAATTGTATGACCCCCCATTATCATGCAGTTGTTTGATGGCTCGCTGAGCCGGTTGTTCCACATTGTGCAGACACTTCGTTACCATTCTAGGCAACGTATCAGTGTGACCTCTAATTGAAGCATTGGTGTTCTGCACCGTTCCGAATTTATATGATCCTCTGGTGTGGTGGGTCTTGTCACTTCCAGTTCTGTTTTTCAGCAGTGGTCTGTGTAAGGGGTATATTTCTATCGGTTTGTTAATAGAGTCCCATGTTGAGAACCAGGCCTCCAGAAATTCCTTTGCATGTCTGTTGTTCGCTTTGTCCCTATAGACGCTTTGTCCCCGTCAAGCTGATAGCCTTCATTGTCTGTGTGATACCAAGACAAATGAATATTGGTCGAATCTTTTTACTGCCAGCTGGTGTTCGTGTATCTTGGCTGTCAATTTCCTCCCCGTTTGTCCAATGTAATGTTTATTGTACTTGCTGCATGGGATTCTGTTTATCACGTTAGTCGTGTTTACTGTTGGTATGGGGTCTTTAGTCTTTGATCTTTAGTCTTTGATAGCATTGCTAAGTGACTATACTGGGACAAGAAAAGAACAGACGTGCAAGGGAATTTCTGGAAGCCTGGTCCTCAACATGGAACTCCATTAACAAACAGAAATAGATCCTGTATACAGACCATTTCTAAAAAACAGAACCGGAAGTGACAAGACCCACCACACCAAAGCATCATATAAATTTGGAACGAAGCAGAGGTCGCACCGATGATGATGATGCCTAGAATGGTAACGAAACGTCTGCACACTACGGAACAACCGACTCGGTGAGCAAACAAAAGATTGCATCCACAACCCGAGCTACAAATTTTTGCTAAGGCCTTTAAAACCTATGGGCACAGCACGCTAAAACAGGCCCGACAATGGGATGCCTATGCCATTTGACAAAATGCTACTCACGAACAGCTCCGTTTCTTGCATGGATGCCTCCGGAACCAGGTACTGCCTCGCACTGTAAAATACAAACCACCACTAAACAATCCACAAGCAAGAATAGCAGAGCAAAGTGGCTGCAGAATGCTATGGGCAATGGTCACAAACGCCCACAACCGACTCCACAGATAAGAGCGGGAAATAGCACAGCAAAAATCTTTGTACCAGAATTCGACCAGCCAAGAGTGGACCATATCATTAACACTAAACAACAGAAAACTCAAACAAGGAAAAGACCCAGCCTACAGGAGAAATTAACTGGACTAATCCACCGGGATGACATGAACAAAGCAGACACATGGGTAAGGAACCTATCCAACAGACAACTCACAGACACAGAAGAAGCCGTCCCGATACGCAGACTTAACTACAACCACAAGGGCGCAAGTAAAACAGAATTCTTAGCAGCACTAGAGTCAACACTGAAAACCAGTGGAGTCACTGACGAAACTCAACAGGCCATCAGACAAACAGTAGTCCCAGCACTTAACCGTAAACACAAATCAGACACTTTGAGCACAGCAGAGAGAAAGGCCCTAGCAAGACTGAAGAAGGATAAAAACATCACTTTCCTACCAGCGGACAAAGGACAAATGACCATGCTTCTGAATGGAATAGACTACATTGAGAAAGCACAGGCACTCCTCATGGATACAGCCACATACCAACAGGTGGCATCTGACCCCATACCACAGCTAGAGAACAGGATAATACAGACACTGAAGAAACTTAAATGTGCAGGAGAGATAACTAACACCGACTACTTCAGAATGAAATCAGATAGCTCAAAAACCCCCCTCTTCTACGGTCCCCAAGGTACACAAACCTGGAACCCCGCTGGCCTCCTTATCAAGCACACCTACACGCAAGCTAGTGACAGAATTACAATGGAGACTTAAACACCTAATTAGCGGATCCCCACACTCAAACCATTTGGCACAAGAATTTCTCTCACAGCTCAGGGACACAAAAATTGATGAGGATGAAATCATGATCTCCTTTGATTTTACAGCACTCTTTACATCATTGACGTACCGTTAACCAGAGAGACATTAGCCACACTACTTGGTGCACCAGGACCACTGACCCTGAACTCCAGCAACAAGGACAGCTTTCTGAAACTATTAGATTTATGCCTCACAGCGCACTTCACGTTGAACAGCCAAATATACAAACAGATGAACGCCACAGTACTGGGATCACCCATCTCAGGTCTCATCGCGGAAGCAGTGATGCAGAGTCTGGAACACACGGCCCTTCCTATAACCAAAACTGTGGATAAGATACATGGACGACACATTCGTAATAATCGAACGCACAAAAGTAGAAGAAACCTACCAGTTTGTTAACAGCATCTTTGCAAGCATAAAATTCACTAGAGAGGAGGAAAACAACAAACAGCTCCCATAGTTAGACGTAACGGTAGAGAGACTAACTAATGGCGAATTCCAGACCCAAGTGTACCGGAAGGCCACACATACATGGACCAAATCCTGAACTTCAATAGCAATCACCCTCCCATACACAAACAGGGTTGTATTAAGACACTGTTTAAATGAGCCATATCACACTGCAATACCCCAGAACTCCAGAGAATGGAAGAGGAACACCTGCACAAAGTATTTACCGACAATGGATATCCAAGAAGTTTTGTCCGCTGAGGCCTACAAAACAAAAGACAGTCAGAGGACACAGTGCAACAGAAGACACATGTAACACTACCCTACATCAAAAATATATCGGAAATGACAATCAGACTCCTTAGACCGCATAGGATCATGATTGCACACAAACCTACATCAACATTGTGTCAAATGATATCAAAGACTAAAGACCCCATACCAACAGTAAACAGGACTAACGTGATATACAGAATCCCATGCAGCGAGTGCAATAGACATTACAATGGAAAAACGGGTAGGAAACTGACGACCAGGATATACAAACACCAGCTGGCAGTAAAAAGACACGACCAATATTCACTTGTCTTGATACACACAGACAATGAAGGCCATCAGTTTGACTGGGACAAAGTGACTATACTGGGGCAAGCGAACAACAGACATGCAAGGGAATTCCTGGAGGCCTGGTTCTCAACATGGGACTCCCTTAACAAACCAATAGAAATAGACCCCATATACAGACTGCTGCTAGAAAACAGAACTAGAAGTGACAAGACCCACCACACCAGAGGATCATATAAATTCGGAACGGTGCAGATTAGAGGTCGCATTGATGATGTTGCCTAGAATGGTAATGAATGGTAATAAAACGTTTGCACACCATGGAACAGCTGGCTCAGCGAGCAAACAAACAACTGCATCCACGACCTGAGCTACAAATTTTTGCTAAGACCATGTTACCATGTTTTAAAACCATTCAAGGTCTTTAGTTTGCAAGTTGTCCTTTCTCCATCGCCACACTGAGTCATGACTGGTCCTAATCCACTGATCCCAATACCACATGACTTGCTACACGTGGCTATGCTCAGGATTGTGTCATGGAGTGTCCTGTAAGTGGCAAGGTGTTTTTATTTTCCTCCTGACTTTAAAATAAAGGAATTTGGATTAATCATGCAAATTGTGGAACAGTTTATATAAAGAAATAACATTTTATTAGCGGTTGCTTGAACTGCATTATAAGAGAATAAAACAAAATAGCTAATCATAGAACACCTGTACTTACCTCAGGATGTCCCAAGTATTTGATGTTTGGTATCTGATGTAATGTGGGAAAACAGCAACCAATTTATACACAGCAAACTCTCAGAAACATAAATGCAATTGTAACCATATGATTTGTTTCATTGATGTTTGTTGAGACATAAATGTTGACCAAGACAGTCCCTCCACCTGCTTCCTGTTTAATGTATTACCATGGGATCCACTGGAGAGGGCCGCCAGTGCCTTGGCTTAACATCTCAGTGAAAACACAACCCTGGACTTTATGCTCTTGTTTCTAGAGTGGGATTTAAGCCCAAAATTCTCTTACTCAAAGGCAGGACTGCTAACCACTGAGCCTTGATTGATATGACAGAAATATATTCAATCTTTTAACATCAAAGGGTCTAATTTTTAAAAAAAAGCTAATTGTGTACTCCCTGCTGTCCTGTACAGAATGCCTTCTAGCTGTTGAATCAGGAGCTCACTTTGTGGGATGCTTCATGGTAAATCTTAATTGGCTTAGAGTAACCAAAGTGAAATAGAGGAATAATGAGGAAAGGAGATTATGGCAGGTCACTTTTATAACTTGTAACTTTTTATCTCACCTGTTTTCAACAGTTTTCTTTCGGTCTGTACGGAATTTTGAATCCATGGATCCTCAATTTACAATCCGTAGAAAAATGGAACAAATGAGAGAGGAGAAAGAGCATATTGAACAACTCCGGGAGGTGAGGTGTTGACATAGCTGCACAAGCAATAGAAGTTTAGTTCACAATATGCATGCATGGTTGATGTTGGTTCTGATTATCTTACTCTTGATTTATATGGATATCAAAGTTGCATGACGGCTTTGAAATGAAAAGTATGGGCTGGCAGACTAACCGTTTAATAGTTTGAAAAAATGCTTAAAACTTTACATAAACCCATGTTATTTACATTTGACAATTTATCATGCTATCACTTGTGCAGGAAATAAATCATTAATGTATTGTACGCTATAATGTCTAGTTAGAGGGCAAACACTTGTACCTTGGATCAGACCTGAAAAGTTGACGACAGTAGAAATATTGTTTAAGTATCTGTTAAGGTTATTCTAGGCATGGGCAAAGTATCCTTTTCCTAACTTTTCTTCCCCCTTAACTGTGAGCAGAAAGCTTAATAGTAAGTAAAGTGTGGGGGTTTTGTAGCTAAGCCAGATCCTTCCCCATCCCAATGTTCACCCTGACTGACTTCCGTAACCCTGTCAGGTCAAAAATGTTTGCTGTTGCCTTTCATAAAGTTTGTCCCTAAGCAGGAAAGAAGCTAAGCCCTTTAGTTATGATCACTCAACAGCTTTAGCTAAGTTGGCCGACCCATGGTAAGGCCGCACTACAATTCATTACTGCTTAAACGTTATTTGCTTGTGGTAAAGTGCAAGATGTAGTGTCTTCAAATAGTGGAATAGGAACCTTTGGAACCCACATCTATGCTTACATTAAATTGTGGTCAGAAGTTGCTCATAAATCTAACTGAATTTTGTTCAACAGAATATTGAAACAAGACTCAAGGTTACTTTGCCAGAAGAGATTGGAACAGCTCTGATGGATGGAGTAGTCCTTTGTCATTTAGTCAATCACATCCGTCCACGATCTGTGCTCAGTATACATGTACCATCACCGGCAGTGGTAAGAATTTTGCTTTAAGAAGGGAACAGTCACCTATTTTCAGGTTGAGATCTTTGTTGCACGCAATGCTGTTAGGTCATGGTCAGCAACAGCTGGCGAACCAGTTCGCTATTTCTTATTAATGACCCTTACCTGCTTTGTGAAAAATCAAGAAGTTTGGAATAATCAGAGTCCAGATCCTGAGTTCCATTAAATTTCTTCATGTATTGTGTTTCCTGTGCCAGGCAGCATTCCTTGTCAAAATAAAGAGTCGATGTGTCCAGAATATAGCAAGTGCTATCTAAAAGTCCCATTGTATTTGCCTTTTTCCATTGTATTAGTCACACAGTACAGTACAGTTGATGACAAATCATAACAATGAATTTCATTGTCAATCTGGATCGAAGCCAGTTGTAAGTCAGAAACAAAGATATCTATCTTTATGCATAGGGTTTGTTAATTACTCAGTCCTAAATCTCCTTCCACACACCAGACCCAACTGTTCGCCTATTATACCTACACAGTTAGTTAATCCCGATCACTTGCTTGTTAATTAGTTTATGACAAATCTAGACACAAATAAAACTCTGGTTGGAGTAAGTTTTAGGAAGCATTGGTCCAAATTTGCTTGTTCCTTTCAATAATGTTACTCTCACCATTTCAAACTGCTGTATCCCCACAGACTTTGCTGGATTTGACTCAAAAACCATGATAGAATTTCCTAGGGCCCCGACCTGAAACGTCAGTTTTTCTGCTCCTCTGATGCTGCTTGGCCTCTGTGTTCATCCAGCTCCACACCTTGTTATCTCAGATTCTCCAGCATCGGCAGTTCCTATTATCTCTGATAGAACTGTTCAGTTTGGGTCATCATCTCCACGGATCATTACTTACACCAATCTAGATAAAGTAGCTAATGTTGGGAGCTCACCTCATTTAAAACTGTTTGCACTTCTCTCCTTGAATTCTGAAGCAAAATATTGCTGATGTAAGCTGAGGAGAAAGAACGTTCATTTTAGATAGTTTTCTTACCATCCTCAGGCCATGCTATGATGTGCCACAGTCAGTATGTTACTTGTACTGGTAATTTCTGGGACTAATTCACATGCTATGCCAAGTAACAATGGAATGACTGACCAGTTAATTTGCTTTGCTACTGGTTGAGGGATAGGTTTTAGATTAAAAATCTGCATTGATTTTCAATGCTGTTACACACAAACATAGGAAATAAAAAATGGCCTGCGAGTTGTGCCATGGGCTTTTACCTGAACCAGGATGGGGGACTTCCATGTAAAGTCTTATTTAGCAGCAACCCCTTCAGTACTGAGGTTTCAGCTTGGACTATGTGTTCAAGTCCTGCACTGGGGCTTGATCCCACAATCTTCTGATGAGTAGGTAAGACTACTGCTGCTAATCTAAATGGATGAGGGGAAGATAACCAAAACCAGGTAAGGTATACTCCAACAAGGAGAAGATTCAGAGATAGAGTGCATCCATGCATGCACTTGTTCAACACGTTGTGTGACCGAGAAGGTATTTCACAGAGTACTGAGTGATGCATGGCTACCAATAGCAGAGGAGCATAGTGCAAAACCCAAGGTTCCACCTTACTGAAATATTGCCCATGTCTTGTAAGTGTAAATAGTTCCAGGCCCTATGTTTCTGTATCAATCAATACATTGTACCATTTTGAAAAATGCATAATTTTTAAAAAGAGTGTACTTGTCTTACAGCCTAAACTGAGCATGGCAAAATGTAGGAGAAATGTGGAAAACTTTCTAGAAGCCTGCAGGAAAATGGGAGTGCCTGAGGTAATTTGATGAATTATTTTCAATTCAAAGTCTTTCCTTGGATTTGGGGTTGGAATGAAAACAGGCAAGTATGGATCACTTTAGAAAAATAAACTTGAAAGATGACAAAAAACAGTGGAAGCATGGGATCTCTGGGACTCTTCATGTTTTCACCAAGTTAAATGGGAAAATTAACCTGGCAATGATTTGTATTGTCGGAAAGAAAACTCTTGAATCAATCAGAATAAATGCCCTCTCATTCCAGCCCAAGCTGCGTTATTCCTGTACATAACTCTGAAGAGAGAGCTGTAGTCCTTCAGTGGTTTCATTTCACAAGTCATGACATTGCGGTCACTGGCACTTGTTAACTACTAATCTGTGAGACTTGGAGCTCACAGATTTGTGAAAGAAAAGCGCTGTGCAAACATGTTCCATAGTACAAACAGTAGTGGATTAAGCATTTGCAATTACACGTTCACAAAATTTCAATTTTGTTCTTGTACTTTTTTTGTGAAGGGGTTCAAGAGAGTGGGGATGGTGGAGAGAAGTTGAAGATCAGCCGTAATCTTACTGAATAGCAGGGCAGGCACAACCTACTTGTTATGTTTGTAAAACCTCCCAAAAGGAAAATGAATGAAGAAATGTTAAACTGGGGTTGCTAGGAGAGATGGTGTTCTTAAACCTAGTTGCCTTGTTAATGTTTTCCTGTTATGTGTTATACTTACTGAGTTCTTCTGATCAGGGTTTTCCATTGAACCAGTAGGTTGTGGCAGAGTTGTCTTTACAGCTAAGAAATTTGTCAGGTTGGGGTTCTGTGTCTTTCTAAGGACTCTGTGGGATATTCGTCATCGTTAAACTATTGCTTCATCTGCATAAGCATGAATCATGGGTATTGTGAAATCCATTCAGTAGTTTCAACATTCCATCAACGTTGATCCAAGGAAGATCATAAGGAGCAGGCTATTTGATTAATTGAGCTTGTTCCATCATTCAGATTGTGGCCATTAACCCTGCTTTCCTGAATATTCCCTGTAATCCTTGACGACTGCAAAGCTATTTCTGATTGTAATGGGAACACTGGCTCTTTTCCAAGATTTTGAAGCACTAGAAACTTTTTGTTTCTCCATCTTCCTTACCAGTTTTTTTCCTCTGTTCATCTTTCCTGAAAGCTCTGAGTGTTGGCCACCATTACTCCCTTCGTCAAAGTGATCAATATTCAGATGTGAGGCTTCATAAGCTGAAAGCAGCTTATTTAGCAACAAAGCTAAGCTTAGGTTGGTCCCACTCAGATTGACGACAGTTTTTAACAAGGATAACAGACAGAAGCTGCAACACTGTCTTAACTTCCCTCTGCCATGTCTCACCTAGTGTTAACTTCAACAAAAAAGAAAACTGGAATGTAACTGTCTCTCACAAGGCCTACATCTATTATACATCTTCAGTGGTCCTTGAGAAGATGGTGATGAACTACTTCCTTGAACAGTTGGGGAAGACATCCACACAGTGAAGTTACTTTGCCGACAGTCCCAAGATTGTGAATGATGTTTTCCTGAGCCATGTACTTCTAGGTGATAGCATTGCATAGTGTGGGAGGTGTGGCCAAAGAAGCCTTAGTAAGTTTCTGCCTGCATCTCGCAGCTAAGTGTACACTGCAGTCATGATACACTAAGTCAATGAGCGGACGTTTATCCACATTTGGATAAATTGGAGAAATAGACATTCAACAGTGATCATGGGAGGTTGGTAAGTGTGCACTTCTCAGGTTCTGCTAATCTACAAGTTGATAAAGGTCAGCCAAGTCCTGTTAATGAAGATGCTAAAGGAAGTGTTTAATGCCGCTGAGGAGGTATCTATAGCAGATCCAAATACAAAAAACTTTCCCTAATCCAAGAATGTTGAGGTGCAACAATAGTCACCATACAGCACCACCAAGACTTCCTTCCACTGTTGTAATGTTGCTCACCCTTCTCCATGCCACTGAAATGCTTCCCTTTGCTTTTAACGCATCTTGAGTCTTCATTCATTTTCACTGCAACTCCTCATTTTTGACCTTGCAGAAATTCCAAATAACTCGGATTGCAGCCACTCATATTCTGTCCAGTGATTCTGCTCTGTCCCCATTCTCATTTGTTTACATTGGCCTCAAGTCCCGAACACACAAAATGTAAAATCCTCATCGGCTCTTCAAACCCTTCATACCAATTATCCCCACAATGTTATGGGCCTTCTTGGTATATATTTGCCCTCTCTTCTCACATTTAGTGACAGAACCTGTAGCTGACTTGTCGTTTTGCCTCGCCATGCCTCTTGCTATCGTTAAGATCCATTCCAATATTGTTTATTTTTATCCTTTTATTCTTTTATCAAAAGACACAATACAAGTACTTGTATTTTGTGAGCCTTTAAGTCATCTGAGTATGTTCTCTGATCTGAAAGGAATATTTCCAGTTTTCTGCAGTGATGGAAATAGTAGTATTCAGAAAAAGAGAGTTCCAAAGGTTACTAAGTTCGACTGTTCCAAAAAATTAGTTGCATTCAGTAATGCCAGGGAACAAGGGAAGAGCTTGTTGAAAGATTTTCAATAGATTCAACCGAATTAGTCACATGGAGGCAGTCAGAGGAGAAGGGTTTTACCTTGGAGATGTTAGTCAGTCAGGTACTTAGGGGCAGGAAGGAGAGGCCCCATCCCAAAAAAGTGTAGCTGTAGTGGGTGCCAAGTCACTAGGTGTAGTCTCTGGAGCTAGGAGGTACAGCTGAATGTTGGTGACGGGTCTTAGGGAAAAACCCTGGGAGATGTGGCATATTGGGAGAAGCCATGTACCATTAAAAGCTCAGGGCAGCTTAGTGAGAAGGAGAAAGAAGCAGTATTTCCTTTGTACAGCTGTGCGAACTTGAAGAAACACAGGGGTAGCTCCAGCTTAGTAAAGCTAGCTATCTGAGAAAGCTGAAGCTGTGCCTAAATCCAGGGAGTGCAGTCCCAAGCAACCTTACCAAAATTTGAGCAGCTGCTGTGATGGACTGGCTTTCAAAGAAGTTCTGAAACTAGGTCTTCAAGAGAAGAGAAATCCGAACCTTTGTAAGATTTTAGTGAAGTTTGATGACATCTGGGATTTGCTAAGAAATCCATGTGATCTGTCTTGATCACATTTGTTATTTGATCTGCTCTGTAGGTGTTGGGACTGTTACACATTTACCTTGGGTTAGTTCTAATTGATGCCACAATATACTTTTATAAATTTTGTGGACTATACTGCTGTTCTAATTTTGTATAACAAAGTTGTTTCTTGTTTATTCAAAACCATGAAATCTTGTGGCTTTACTCTCTTTGCAAGTGCTTGGAGTGTCACACTTTGCCTACTTGTTAAAAAAAAGTTAATTGCCCCTTGCCAGACAGTAACATAAATTTGGTATTCTGGACTGAGATCATAACAGGATATTGTGATAGTTTGTTCATTAAAAGTATGAATTGAGTTCACAAAGTGAGCTGAAGATATCTGAATGTAAACTTCCAGGGGGTCTTGCTTTAATCTTGTCATTGGACAGCTAGTGGAATTGTTTCTATTTCTTATTCACTACGATAGAAATAATTAATGTTGGATGCCTGTCTTTTGAGAAGTACTTTGTATTTCTTAAAAGAAACATGCTAAATAAAGAATAAGTACCTTTGCTGTGAAGCACAAGAAGCTGTCTCAAATCTGTTTTCTTCAGTGCATTTCCATTCCATTTAGTTAAACATCACACCAATAGGAAGGAAATCCATCTTATAGATTTGTAAGCCTTTTGAAAAGACTTGCTATTTTTGTCTTGTAAAACATTTGAAGTATCAGGTTCACCAAATTAAATGCCATTTTGCTATTTTAATGCTTTTTTTGGCTTTTGTGTAATTTTATATCTTGGAATGAGGCAAATTTGTTATATAACCATGATAAAACACGGTCTGCTAGAAAGTGTTTCTACCTGCCAGAGGGGTCAAAAATATACAGTAGACAAATCTTGTTGGTTGCAGTATGATTCATTGGTGAAGGGATATATTGTAGACTTTAACTTTCCAGGACTTTTACAACACATGCAACATAAAGCTTTAAGGAGTCTTAGGAAGTTCGAGCACATTACAGAAAGCTGCTTTTACGGTGAGTGATGTTTTGTGGCCACTTCTTCCCAAACATATCTGACAAAATCCAGTGTTTTCACTTTACTTCAGAGGTACTCTGATTGAATTGCTTAAAATGTTAAAACAGTTCAATGGATTAGAAACAGAGGCTGTATTTCCTGTCATAACATAAGAAATAAGAGCAGGAATAGGACATTTGACTCTTGAAGCCTGCCCTTCCATTCAATAAAATCACGGCTGATCTGTCCCAGGCTTCAACTGCTATTTCATATCAGTGAAATCTGCACTGTACAATTTGGTTGTTGGTTTTGCCTACATAACAACAGTGACTACATTTCAAAAATGCTTAATTCACTGTAAAGCCAGTGGAACTTCCTGAAAATAGGAAAGTTGCTGAATAAATGTAAGTTTTTCAAATTTAATAAGGGCAACAAACAGAAGCTTTAAAATATCATTGATCATATGAGAGGCAGTAAGCAGAAGGAGCAAAATCCCCCTCACTTAACTCAGACACTTGTGATTAACAGAAAAGATGACAAAAATAAAAGGTGCCTTCAGCCAGCATGATTGACTGTACTTTCTGCTAAAGTTCAATCACAGGCAGAGCTTTCTGTTTTGAGTCATAACAAATGAGAAAACTGAGGAGAATAAGAAAGAATTCAATGCAGTCATAATAGGGGAAGAGGAGCCGTGCCACACGTTATTTAGCTCACATTATATCTGAAAGGCTTTCCCATGCTGGTTTCTCTCTGGGTAAAATAGTATGATTCTTGTGATTGAGAACTGAGTGTGATGAAGCTGCAGTTGAATTGAGATTTCAGAGACTGCTGCTGTGTTCCACTACTTATTCTCCTGGGAAGGGATTTAAAAATAAGAATATAAGAAATTGGAGCAGGAGTAGCCCATTCAA